GGAGAAGGCCTCTCCCGCTGCGCCCTCCGCTTCTGACCCACGCGCCCCTCGTCCTCCCAGCCATCGTTTTCGCCTCCAGCCTCGCCTGCGCGTCTAAGGCGCCCAGGGCCGAGGTGCCTCCCTAGAGATCCACCTCCGGCTCTGAGCATCCCCAGCCAGGCGAGGCCCGATAAATCCTCCGCAAAACCCTTTAGGGAACTGCCGCCGCTCCTCGAGCTACCAGCCCCGGCGGGCACGTTGTCGAGTTGCAAAAACGGTTGGATTTTTCTCCCTAGAACCGTGTCTGGATGCGGAGATGGAGCCGAGTGTGAGCGCACTTTTAAACGCGAAATTCGTTGGCCAGTGAAGGACTTTAGAACCCTGAGACGTTTGGTTTTGGTTTCGGGGCGAGTCAGCGTCGCGCCGGAACCCCAGACCCATGAGCGGGGCCCCGGTGGCCCCGCGCCCTGCGGTCCCAGTGGGGCCTCCGCGCGGCGAGCAGAGCCGGCCCGGGGCTCCCGGCGCCGCGTTTTCTAGAGAACCCGGTCTCTGGGATGCTCATTTCAGCCGGATGTTAGTGTTAGAAGCGAAACCCTACAGGAACGAACAGGAGCGTCTGCGCTGTGGTTCGCTGGGGTTTCCGGCAGCCCAGTCCCGGTGCGCGGGGAAGCGGCTTCTCCGCTGAGCGAGGCGGTGGAAGAGGCGAAGCCGGCGCGGGATGGTCCGAACTGGGCGGCTTTGGAGGCCCGCAGGGAGGTGACGGGGGAGACCAGGCGTTGGCTGCCCTTCGGTGTTATGTCCCCGGACATCAGGACCTTTCCAAGCCAGGGAGCAGCGTCCGGAGCGGGCTGTGCGAGACCCTACCCCCTAGGACCCGCGTCGGTAATGGGCCGGCGCTTCAAAGGGCGCCTTTGTTCCGGCAGGAGCGGGATGAGGTTATCTCCGCGGCGTGGCTAGCCTCTCCCTCTTGTAGCCCCAGGTCCCTGAGCCCCGCCGCCAGGTCTAGAGCCCCAGGCCGGCTGCCGTCTTTGCTGAAGGGACCGCAGCTCCGGCCCTGGGCCCTTCCCACCTCCAGTTGCCTCGCTCTTGGGAGTCTCTATTGCTAGTTCGTAGCCGGTGCCTCGAAGTGGACCACAGAGAGAGGCTGGAGGAAAGCTGGGTTGGGTGGGGGTCAGTTGCTAGCTCCAGGGAAGCCTAAGCCAGCCCCTTTTTAATCTGTCCTTGTCTGAAACTGCCAGCCCACTCTCACAGCCCAGAATTATTGGGGGGTGGGGGGAGACAGACCACACCGCACCCCTGTCCCAAGGGTCGGGCAGACACAAACCACATTATAAAAGAGCCACCAAGTCACACATACTGAGGCCAGACCACAGTCCTGAGTCCTCTGCTCCACATGGCCCTTCACACCCACCTACAGGGTCCCTCTGCTGCCCCCTCACCTCTGACTCTGACTAGCCTGAGCCAGTCCAGTGGCTGGAGCCAAACGGTGCAAATGCTGGCGTGAGGCAGGCTTTCTCGCTTCCTGCCTGGCTCATTTGTCCAGAGGACACCCCTGTTGGGACTGCACCTGGGCTCAGAATGAGGTGTTTTCTGAAGCAGTTTATTTTAACATTGACAAGAAGTATCTGCTTCCCACCTATCTCTCCCACCGTTGTCTTGCCCACACTTGAGACTGAAATCCTTATTCCTACCTGGATCAAGCTCCTCCTTTCTCTCCCTCTTACCCTGTTCTGTCAGACCACCTCTCTGGCCATCCGTCCCCTCCACTACCACAAGTTAAACTCTTCTTTCAATCAGGCCCGAGAGTCCGGGGCCTGCCGTTTTGAAGGGCCCAATGGTCAGGGTGTCCCTCCCTCTATCTTCCTAGTCTATGATTCCCCCTCCCTATTGTAGCAGCACAGATCCAACCACTTGAGATAGAGAAGGTGACTGGAAATGAGTGACTTCTCCCAGTCAGGGGACTTTGTCTCCCCCCCAGGCACTAGCCCCTCATTCCTAGGCAACCCTGTCTGCTTGTGTCAGTGTCTGAAGCCAGGGACTTGTAGAAAGTAATGTCAGGCAGTTTCCACCAGCAGAGGGACATGAACCTGGAGAGTTGTAGCAACATCACCTCAATTATATGCCTTGCTTCACTTACAGCCATATTTCCAGAGATGGAAGATCTGAACGGAATAATCTAAACAACTGTCTTAAGAACAAAACAACAGGTCAAACTGAGTCAAACCAAAGGCCATTTCTGAAGAAATTCATTGGATTAGCTAACTCTGTGGAAACATTCTATCTAGGGCTCTCCATTATTGGTGGGTCAGGGGGGACTGTTACATGCCGCTGCATGAGAATCCACGGGTGATTTCAGGACCCTTTCGAGTTTGTTAGCCTGTGCCACGGAGCCTGGTGGGGGTGGGGTGGGAGTTCATGGAGACTGGACTGTCTGTGGACGCTTGCTTAGCTTTTGTAGTTTCTCACCCACCACCCCAGCCTCACCCACTCCAAATGTCATCCCCTCCTCCTGCATCTGGGGGCTGAGTTTCCATGGTGGCCAATATTTGCAAGAGACAGGCACACTCTTTGAAAACCCTGTATGGGAGATAGGAGGAAAAGACAGTAGGGAGGCTGGAGCATGTATTTACACACGCCCATGCAGAAACCAATATACCTATATCTATATATATTAGAGAGAAAGATAATATCAAGATATTTATAAACATGCTCCTTTAGCACGGGACTATTCATGGATGAAGCAAGGCTCTTTTCCCACCAGGGAGCAGCGAGAGTCTCCTGTGGGAGAGGGTTTTACCTGAAAGGAAAGGGAGAGAGGTGGGGAAGGGTAGAAGAACCTGACCTTAGACCTGCAGGTGCTGCCTGGCCAATGACCTAACCGCTGACCTATTTTTACCACTTGCAGGGGAGAGCCTGGGCCAGTGGTAGGCATTTTTAAAGGGCTAGTGGCCTGAGCAAGGCTGGTTTAAGTGAGGGGAGAGTTCCTTGGGTCTCTTCTAGTTCTTGAATCTGTGTTTGGCTTGGGGATGCCTAATAGCTTCACTGTTCCCCTTCCTGACTTCCAGACCCCCAGCCCCTTTTCTCCTCCTTTTCGTGAATTACTG